AAAAGCAAAAGTAAATAAATGGGACCTAATTAAATTTATAAGTTTTACACAACAAAGGAAACCATAAATAAAACAAAAGGCGACCAACAGACTGGGAGAAAATATTGGCAAATTATGTAACCAACAAGGACTTAATTCCCAAAATATACAACCAGCTCATACAACTCAATTAAAAAAAAAAACTCAATTAAAAAATGGGTTTGAAAACCTAAATAGGCATTTCTCCAAAGAAGACATGCAGATGGCCAACAGGCACATGAAAAGATGCTCATCATCACTATTAGAGAAATGCAAATCAAAAGCACAATGAAGTACCACCCTCACACCAGTCAGAATGGCCATCATCAAAAAGCCTACAAATAACAAGTGTTGGAGGGGATGTGGAGAAAAAGAAAGCCTCCTACACTGTTGGTGGGAACTCAAAACTGATGCAGCCACTATGGAAAATAGTATGGAGGTTCCTCAAAAAAACTAAAACCAGAGTTGCCATATGATCCAGCAATCCCACTCCTGGACATGCATCTAGACAAAACTATAACTAGGAAAAAATACATGTACCCCTAAATTCATAGCAGCACTATTTATAATACCAAGACATGGAAACAATCTAAATGTCAATGGACAAATAAATGGATAAAAATGTATAAATATACAATGGAATATTACTCAGCTATAAAAAGAATGAAATAATGCCATTTGCAGCAACATGGATGGAGTAAGAGACCATCATACTTAAGTAAACAAAGAAAGAGAATAACAAATACCACACGTTATCACTTATATGTGGAATCTAAACTAAGACTCACATGAATATAGCTACGAAACAGAAACAGACACAGACTCACAGATCTAGAGAACAGACTTGTGGTTGCCAAGGGAGAGGGGAAGTGGGGGAGGGAATGATTGGGAGCTTGGGATTAGCAGATGCAAACTATTATATACGGCTAGATAAACAACAGGGTCCTATTGTACAGCACATGGACCTATATTCAATATCCTGTGATAAACGATAATGGAAAAGCATATATGTATGTATAACTGAAATCATTTTGCTGTATAATAAAAAATAAAACTTATAAACCAACTATGTCAATAAAATTTAAAAATATACGATTATAAAAAATGCACTTGTGCTCGGGCCTGGTGCACTGGGAAGACCCAGAGGGATCGGGTGGAGAGGGAGGTGGGAGGGGGGACCGGGATGGGGAATACATGTAAATCCATGGCTAATTCATTTCAATGTATGACAAAAACTACTGTAATGATGTAAAGTAATTAGCCTCCAACTAATAAAAATAAATGGAAAAAAAAAGAAACTATATCACAAGCTCAAAAAAATAAAAAAAATAAAACGTTATAAAAGAAAAAAAAAAATGCACACACCTATCAACAGAGCCTCAAATATATGAAGCAAAAAATGACACAGTTCAAGTGGCTCTACAATAAGAATTGGAGATGTCAACAGATGACAATAAGGGACAAAAGAACCAAAAAGGAGACTGATAAGGAATACTATAGAACAAATAGACCTAACAGACATATTCAGAATATTCACCCAACAGGGAACAGAGTACCCATTCTTCTAAGGGAAACACAAACATTCTCTAAGAAAGACCACATGATAGGTCACAAAACAAGTCTTAAACTTTCTCACAAGATTGGAAAAAATACTTTGTGTGGTTTCAATCCAATGAAATAAAACTAGAAACCAACAACAGAAGGCAAAATGGAAAATTAACACACACATGGAAATTTAACAAAACAATGAATGGGTCAAAGTAGAAATTATAAAGGAAACTAAAAAATACCTTGAGATCAACAAAAATGAAGACACAACAGATCAAAATTCACAGGATGCAAAGAAACCAATGCTAAGAGATTTATACCTGTAAACACCTACATTTAAAAAAAAAATCTCAAATCATAACCTAATTATATGCTTTAAGAAACTTGAAAAAGTGTAATAAACTACATCCAAAGCTACCAGAAGGAAGGAGCAACAAAGATTAGAGTAGAAATAAGCACAACAGACACAAGAAAAACAGCAGAAAACAACCAACAGAATTAAAAGGTTGGTTCCCTAAGAAGACCAACAAAACTGGTAAGCCTTCACCTACACTGACAAAGAAAAAAGAGAAAGAAGACTCAAATGACTAAAACCATAAATAAAAACAGAGATGCCTTTATATATTCACATATAGAACCTAAAATATGAAGTAAACCTGAAGAGGAAGAATAAAAACCCGAATCTTAAATAAGAAGCATAGTAATTAAAAAATTAAAATGAGGTAATACTACTTATTTTACAGAAATAGGAATATAAAAGAATACTATGAACAGTTAAATGCCAACAAACCTGATAAGCTAGATGGACAAATTCCTGGAAACATATGGACTACTAAAACTGAAACAAGAAGAAACAGAAAATCTGTGTAGACCTAGAACAAGTAAGATTTAATTAATAATCCAAAACTTTCTAATAATAAAAAGCCCAGAACAGATGGCTTCACAGATGAATTCTACCAAACATTCAAAGAAGAATTAACACTAATTCTTAAGCTCTTTTGAACCAGTGCAGAGGAAGGAATAACATCTATGAGGCCAGCCAGACAGACACCAAAAGAAAACAGGTATGTCTCAACGGCAAACAAAATTTACAGTCACATAAAAACCTGTAGAAAAACGTATACAGCAACTCCGTTTGTAACAGCCAAAAATGGAAGCAAACCCAAACGTCTTTCAATGGATAAACAGAAAACCTGTGCTACATGAATGTAATGGAACACTACTCAGCATAAAGTAGTGTTTATACTACTACCTTTTCATACACAGAACAAACTGGATGAGGCGTCATGGTGAGTGAAAGTAAGCTTCAGAAGGTTATCTAGTGTGTGATTCCACTTAAATGGCATTCTGGAAAAGGTGATAAAGACAGATCAGGGATAGATATGACCACAAAAAGGAAAACACAAGAGAGTTTTCAGCGTGGTCGTGTCCTGACTATGGTATATCCTGTATCCTATTCTGCTTCCTGATTGCAGTGCTGGTTAAACAAATCTTCAATTACAATTAGTTGTAACTAATAGAACAGTATACCAAATAAAATGCCAACTTCACTCTAATCATTTAAAAAATTAGAAAACTAAAAAAGCTGGTCATATTCATGTTAAATGACAAAATGCCAGACATGAGCAAAAGGGTAAGGTACTGGGCTTGCCATCTATCTCTTAGAAGTCATCTTCCTCTGAGTTAAGCCTCTGAATCCTCTTACTGTTGTTGTGTTAAACCCATTTTGTCCTTATTTTTACTACTTTTTAAACATTCAATGACCTCCCTTCACCTTCCCCCACTACCCGGTTGACCCTGAGGTAAGTATGTTTAACCTGTTATATTTCTTCTGCCTTAAGAAAAATAAAAGTACCTTTCCTTAATAAATGTTAAGTACAATAATATGCCTAAACAATTTCTTCAGTTATTATAAATTACTATAAAACTGTGTGAAGAAAACAACAATTTAGAATTCACTTACCAAAACAGATTCTCAAACATAATTTTATATATATATTCCAAAAAATATTTTAGATAAATATTGATCCCAAAAGTCATTGCTTTGGTCACTTCCTAAAACTGTATTTAACACTGGAAAGTGATTTACCAAAAAATATTTTGCTATTCCAGAGCTCTAGTCTATTAAAAGCATTCTTTCATTAATATAAGTCAAAATGATCCTAAAGATTTCTTGGCTGAAATTTCCAAATGAAAATCAAAGTGAACAAATTTCAAAAGATGAACTGATTTCATATCAGCAGTTTCCCCAGGAAATAAAGCAAGCCTTCACCATTAAGAAAGACCTTTAAAGAATTATACCCATTCTCTTGGCTCTAATAAACATGACTTACTTTAATATAGTAATGCCAAAAGAATTCTCACTGCCAGGAATTATACACAGGCCAAACAATAAGATTCTGATTATAGTGTCACAAAAGATCAAAACATTTATCAATTATAAACTTACAGGCATTGACTTGCATTTAGAGTCTCCAAATATAGATTCCAGAATTTCACTGAGTAAATGAGTTCTCCAACTAGTACCCACTCATATGTAAGTGAAATAATTTCAGCCTAAGAAAACTCAGCTGTTTTCTATCTACATGACCTCATTTAAACAGAAGGAGCCTCAAAAATTTGTTTTCAGAGACACATATAAGTACAAGAGTAAAAAGCAGGTCTGGGTGACTGGGTGACATTATGCTATCAATTTAAGCATGCTATTACAGAAATAAAAACATGTATTAGATATTAAACAGATCTAATATTAAAATGCAACTAAATTACAACCCAAGTGAATCAATCCAACTAAAAAATATATGTATGGATTATATATAAACCAACAAACACTATCTAAAGAAAACTAGAACGACCTCAATGAAATGAGGCAGAAACCTCAAACCATTTAAGAGTGATGTTGTAGACAGCATTTCTCCACACCTGGTCTTTTCTTCTGTAAAATGGAAATGAGAGTTCTTCAAAATCAAAACACACATTTAAGAATTGTTTCTACTTCGCAAACAGGTATTTATCCTAGTCCAATAACTAGGAAGCAAATTCCTGTGTTCTCAAGTATTCTGGGGAAAAATAAGTCTTGAAATGCAACTAAAGCAAACCAATTATAAAATGTAAAATGACCCCAATTCTTATATCTATCCAACTGCTATCTACAAAACCATGTGTGATAACTTTTATACTTGGTAATTTCTAAAAACATGTTAATGTGGGTGACATTTCCAACCCAGATGTTCCATTCTCCAGTCCACATTTTCAAATGCTGGATCTGCTCAAACTATCTCCAATTCAACAGAATCACAAATAGCCTAGATATCTGTGACACTTATCTAACAAATCAGTGCAAGGTACTGTTAATAACAAACAGTCCATCAGCCTGGCACTTTGTGAACCAATAAATATCCAACAAAGAAACATCATTTATAATTAGTACATACGTTCTTTCCGGTGCTCAACCAAGCCAACAGCCTGCTTTGCTGAACATTTTGCAAACCAATTGTCCCCAAGTAAAACAGTGACTTCATTAGTATGGACGAGTTTTCCTGGCATGAAGGCAAAGGGGCCAAATGGTACCTGTTGTTCCAAAAAAAAAAAAAAAAAAGAGGTCAAAAAATAAATAAATAAAAACACTAAAAACTGCATTTTATGAAACAGCATTAAAAGTTCTGTGTGGAAGTCTTTTTAAAAAACTCTCCTCACTAAGAGAAATAAAGTGTCAACTTCATGGACATTTAACATTATAATTTCACTAGGAAAACCTATAGAAAAAATTTAGGTTAATTTGTCAACATTAAAAGAAAAGAAATGAGCATATTTACAAAAATAGCTTTCAGAGAAATCAGCGTTGCTTCCAAACATATTTATTTTTTGCTCAGTCATAAATCTAAATGAAAGCAAACTAGAAATAAAGTATTAATAAATTGACTAACTTTGATTTTTTTTAAACTGAAAATTATTTCTGAGAAAACAGTGTCTTTTGGGGGCAAAACAGGAATTAACAAAGAGCTTTAAAAGGTTTACAAAATTTATGAAATATTTGAGCTGATATAATAAAGAACAATATATTTTCAAAACATCTGGTCTAACTTAATTAAGAACAGTCTTCATGAAAAAGAATATTCATGCAAAGAAAGAATCTAATTCAGGGCTCACAAATAGACCGATGTGTCGATATGAAGATCTGAATATTCAAAAAAAATTAGCAGCACCTTTATATATAAAATCAGTGTTCTAGGGTTTAGTTCTCCAAGATACATAACATTACGGTCTATTGCTGCTCTGGTTAACAGGAAATGACTACATGCCATATTTCTGTTGTAATTAGTTTGCTAACATAGTAAATTTGCATACCAGATATGTCAAATTTTATGCTAACATTTATGCCATTTATATCATCATAACATAATTTAATATAAATCTAAAAAAGGAAAAGAATACCAACTATTACCACAATTAGTGCATTATTATAAAGTAAAACAGAAACCTTCCTATGGTAGTTATCTCTGATCTAGTCCAGGGAGTCAACTTGTAAATCAATACACATTAAGCAAAGAAACACCTTTTTACTTTACATAGCTAACATCTTTACAAGAAACAATATTCTACTTTAAAAGAAACACATCAAACATACCATGATATTATAAGACAACTTATCAGGCAATGTACTGAGTCTTTCTTGAAGAGCATTATAGTCATTATCTACCTTCTTCCTGTTGGAAAAAAAATACCAAATACTAAATTAATACCCAAATTAATGATTCCTCAAGTAGGCTATGTCTCATAAGCTAATCAAAAACCTAATTTCAGCAATTTAAAGATTAAAGTGCTTTTTAATTTTAAAATCGTGTTTTTACAAAATTTAGCAACAGCAGTATTCCACCATACACTTATCAAAGAATTAAGACTCTCAGCTTTTAGATGTAGAACACACATATTTTGAGAATTATTGTTCCCTAAAGTAGAGGATCATCTGAACTAAAGAAAATTTGGAAATTAAGGGAGACAGTGAGTTTGGAGGGAAATGGGTTCAAAATGAAGGAAGAAGATAGCTGAGAAAAGCTTTTGAGAGAATAAACACTGGTTGTGAAACAGAAATCATCAACACAAAATCTGAGCAGATGCTTCAGTCCGTCCTCCTCAGAAAACTTTGGGTTGAAATATCTAGAGTCATCAACTCTTCATTTACTCATACTAATGTTATTGAGGTGAGAGAGAATCAGTCAGGAGCTAGAAGAAATTAGGTAGAGGTACTATAAAAAGTATTACAATTGGGCTCTGGAGTTTATTTCATGTTACATCTCAACAGAGCTACCTGATAATTTCAAACCACCAAAAGATACAAATCTGCAGGAGCAGAAATGGTGACCTTTCCCTCACTGTGAACCATACTCAGCTCTCACAGCTGCTGGAACTGAAGAGCCCTACACTGAACTTCTATCAAACCTTCTGTGGGTATGTCGTTTCCAAAGGGTTCCCTGCTAGGCTGCAGGCTGCAAGCAAAACCAGAGGACTTAAACTTTTTAAAGCAGAGGGATGGTTTTCTCAATTTAAAAAAAGTAACAAAAACAAAAACTCACCAATTCAACAAGTAATTTAAAAGAACATGTAGAAATTATCATATTAAAATTAGGATAAATTGCAGTATAATCACTCTCCAGGTAATAAAAGTGACTGTTCATGGAATTGGTTTCAGTTTACTCCTTAGCTCCCCTAAAGCAACAAACATAATTAATAAAAATCATCTCATTTAGTCTTAAAAATATCAAGGAATTTCACATATTTTAATTCATCATAAAAATATTCCTGCAGTAAGTGTCACATCAATATTTCCCTCTTACAAAAGAGAAAACAGAAGAAAAATGGAAAAAACCACACATTTAAGAGAAATTAGATCCACTCTATTAAGGAGAGGTAGCAGTGACCTTAACCGAGGTCTTCTGACCAGTATCCTTTCAAGCAAGCCTTTTCATTTTCTAATGTTCAAGTGTTTTTTTAAAAACTTTCCTCTCAAATCCCTTTTTATAAATAAACATAAAATGTCTTTATTTGTTTAAGGCAAAAGTCATCTTTCTGGATACACTTTCATATTAATAAAATGGTAGGAAATTTCAGGAACAGGCCTATATACCAGAAAGAACATGGCTTTAAAGTCAGACCAGAGCATCAATCCCAGCTCCACCATTTAACAAATTAATCCTAGACTTAGTATCTTCAATGGTACAAAATTGAAATAATACCTATCTCATAGATTCAAAGCACTGAACACCTAAATATACTGAGCCTTCAATGACCCTGTTCCCATGAAGTATCAAAAATACCAATTCTAAAATTTGAAAGAAAGACTGTATTACCCACTAAGATAATTCCACTGTGTAAAATTCATTCCATTTGATACAAATAGCACAACTTACTTAAAGACAGTATAACTAAACCTAACAACTCAGGAAGCTTTTAGAAACAGGATTGCTGTGAGCAATAAATGGGACAGTTTGGAAGAACTGAAGTGACACAATGCCTGCACACTGTGAACTCATTAAATCTATTATTTATAAATACTAGCAGTTTTACATAAGTAATTTGGCAAATGCTTAGATGACTAATGTTAGTTGCTAAGTTGTGTCCAACTCTTTGCAACTGCATGGACTATACAGCCCACCAGGCTGCTCTGTCCATGGCATTTCCCAAGCAAGAATACTCAAGCGGGTGGCCATTTCCTTCTACAGGGGACCTCCCCATCCAGGGATCAAATCCAGGTCTCCTGCACTGCAGCCAGATTCTTTACCATCTGAGCCGCCAGGGAAGCCCTAGATGTTCCTACAATTGTTAAAAAGCTAATATTGAAGTTAGCACTCAATATGTACTATTTTAGTAAACACACCTGAAAAGGGGGGCAGATTTCTAATAAAACATCACTTTTATATATTAAAAGAACAGAAGATTGTCAATCAAAGACACTATAAGAGGTCAATGTCAGTATTCTAAAGTATATTCAGTTTTAAACTAAATCAATAATTCTCTCTAGAAGAAAAAAACTGTGGCCATATTGGAGAACAGTTTAAGATCAGAGTTGTTACTTCTAAATTTTGAATTGTTTTCTAAAAATACAAAAAGAAAGGAGAAGATAATTTTAAAAACAGCTCATGCAGAAATCCTTTTTGAAGGGAGGCAACTAGAGTCAAACAGTGCCACTGGAAGAGATTACGGCTTGAGGAACTCTCTCCCTGAAATTCCCACTAGAGGAAATATTCAGAATCAAGTGCCTAGTCAAACAGTTATCTCCAAATAGTCCCTCCTCTAATACTTCAGGCTTAAAAAAAAATCCCATAAAAGATCACAAAGCCTATACAGCAGAAAACACAAAATGACTCTAAGATCTAATGTGTTACGGAAGGTATCTTTGTACCAAAATCTGAATAAACTTTTTCTATTTTACCATTCAGAAATATATAACTAAATTTTTGGAGATTATAAAATATGTAGTCAAAGAAGCCAACTGCTTAAAATAACTTTTTTTCAGATGAAAATAAAATCCAGATGTAGTTAGGATAAATCTCTCAAGCCTACTTATTTATTCTGTTACTAGATAAGACTTCCTTGTTTGGTTTCACCATATCTGATCCTTATAGTAGATTAGGTTCAACCTTCAATTCTTAAAAGAATTACCCAATAAATAAGATTTAATTTGCATCAAACATCTTCATGCAATGTTACTTAGAGAAAATAAGTACTAAAGCACTGTTATATGGCATAGAAGAAACTTTTATAATCTTCTTTTAAATCTTGCTAATCAGCCTTCTGAGACACACCTAAGGTTTTTATTAAAAAGCAGCAGCAAAAAAGGACATAACTACAAACTAGTCTTAACCTTAAGGATGAAGATCAGGACAGATCTCATGAGAAATATCTTACTTTCATAAGGCTGTAAAAAGTATGAGAGCGCAAGTTATATTAACATGTATGTTCAAGTATTTACAGGTGAAGTATGCAGATGTCCACAATTTACTTTGAAACACATCATAAAAAATGGACTAAGGGTTGAGATATGGATAGCTATGTGATCAAGGTTCATCTATATAATTCTTTCAATTTTTCTGTATGTTTGAAGATTTCCATAATAGAATATTAAAAAGGAGATGGGAGAAATATGAAGGGAACTCTTTAACCCTCTTCTTAAATGCATGATAAAAAAGAAAACCTTTGTAAAGCAAAAGAAAAAAGTTCTACATCCCATGTTTGAGGCAAGTGAGTAAAGACTCCAATCTCCAGCTTTCAACAGGAAAAACAGAAAATAAAACAATTCACTGAAACAAGATTTGTTTATTTTTCTCTTTAAAGTATGAAGTTGTAATAGGCAGAAAGTATTGACATTAAACCCATTTAAAAAGAAAAAAACCTCCTATCATTCTCTTTACCTACTATCCTAAACAAAAAAGGAGAAAACACCAAGAGATGCTTAAAGGGGAAAAAAGGAAAGGGCTTTTATACTAATGCTAATATCTAGGTTGATCTGGGGTAGAATTAATTCTTTTCTTGTTTGTTAATTTAAGAAATTACAAAACCCAAAGATTTTGGAATATATATACAATTTTCTTTAGAAATGATTCTTAGTCCATCATACCCACTCTGGAATGTCCTATTAAGCATCCAAGAAACCTCTGTTTCAATTCAATTCACCATTTATGGAGCGCCTGCTCTGCAACCAAGCCTTATGCCATATGCTGCAGGGATCATCACTCAAATATAGCATGTCTTTTTTCCTTTTTTTTTTTTTTGCAATGCTTCTCTGTTAAAGATCTGCTGGCTTGATGAATGCCTGGGTTTTTAACCTCAAAAATTAAGAAAACAGAGGAATGCTGAGTTCAGGCATGGTAAAGAGAGAAATTTTCTCATTTCTAAAGAATGGGATGACTAATCTTTTTAAAGTATCCTCTTAAACAGCATAAACAAATTATCAAGGTTATACTAAGCAATAAAAACATTCTTGAAAGAAGACATTTTGTGCCTTCTGTAATTGATGAGAAGTACATTTTTAACCATTTAAAAGTATCTGTACTAAATCAATAGCATTTTTTTAAAATGGTCATGGTAAAACAAATTACTAGTAAGATAAATGATATCTACTACAAAATTAAGGCAATATGGTCACATATTCCTTTATCTCAACTCATACCTAGGAGACATATCAGAAGATGCTGATGAAATAATCCATGTTCTTTATATTTTATGAGTCCATGAGAAAACTTTATTTTTAGAAATAAATGAACCTAAATATAAAAATTTAATAATTTTTCAGAAGTTTAATGAAACAAAGTTATCTAAGAGACAGATGCATCTAACGTTCTACTGCTGCTGCTGGTTAGTCGCTCAGTCTTGTCTGACTCTTGCAACCCCCTGGACTGCGGCCCGCCAGGCTCCTCTGTCCATGAGGATTCTCCAAGGCAAGAATCCTGGAGTGGATTGCCAGGCCGTCCTCCAGGGGATCGTCCCAACCCAGAGTTTGAACCCAGGTCTCCTGCACTGCAGGCCGATTCTTTACCATCTGAGCCACCAAGGAAGTCTTAACCTTCTACTAAATTTCTTCAATTTAAGTTTTCAGCAATGAGACAAGAGAGTACAATGAATGAACACGGCAAAGGTGGGACAGAGGAATTTGTTTGAGCCCCCATACCAATAACCTAGAGAAGGCAATGGCAACCTACTCCAGTACGCTTGCCTGGAAAATCCCATGGACGGAGGAGCCTGGTAGGCTGCAGTCCATGGGGTCGTGAACAGTTGGACACAACGAGCGACTTCACTTTCACTTTCACTTTCATGCATTGGAGAAGGAAATGGCAACCCACTCCAGGGTTCTTGCCTGGAGAATCCCAGGGACGGGGGAGCCTGGTGGGCTGCCATCTATGGGGTCGCACAGAGTTGGACATGACTGAAGTGACTTAGCAGCAGCAGCAGCATACCAATAACCATGCACATGTAACTTGAGATTTATCAGTTACCACAGGTGCCCGTTTCTTTATCAGCCTTCTTTTGCTCTATGAATAAAATGAGATGTGAATTCAACATAAGAAAGTTTAGAAGTTACAAAAACACATTACTCTATGTGTATATGAAAGAAATGCCCTCAAAGTGCCCAACTGCTTTAGGTGATGAGTTTACAGGTAATTTTTATTTTCTAAATTTTCTACAACTGATATATATTTCTATAACAAATCAAAAGAAGGAACTTTTAAGAAAAGATGACTTTAGATATGTTAAGTTTATAACTGACTTAAGCTTTGAATATCTGCATCAGTTTCTACTTAGTCTAACATAATTTGCAAGTTTTGTCATTTCAACTTGTTTTCTATATTTTATTTCTAAATTACATTTTAGAAAAAAGTAAACTGTTGTGTGCCGTTTTCTTAGAACAGTGACTCATCACTCTTTGTGGCTACTGACACCTATGAAAAACTGATAAAACCTCGAGATCCTTTCCTCATAAAAAGGCCCTATATTTTGCATCAATTTCAACAGAAGCCCACTCATAAATCCCTTAAGGTTACTATTTCCTTCAAGAGGTCTTATAGGAGTAAAAAAAGCAGCAGTCCTGGCCAGGTATTTATACCCAGCAAATACTTAAAATTCTCAAAATTATTTTTAACTAGTTCAATTTAAAATTTTTTTTTTAATGGGAAAACTGTCACCAATTTGGTCAAGAGTTCAAAATAAATTAGTAAAAACATTAAATTGTACACAAGTCTAATTTTTTTTACAACTAACATTTTCCTTAATCACACACTGATACCAACACTTCCTTTGGTCTTCAGTACATTAGAATTTAGACTTTTGTATCTCAAAAACAAAGGCTTCCCAGGTGGCACTAGTGGTAAAGAATCTGCCTGCCAACGCAGGAGAAGCAAGAGACACGGGTTTGATCCCTGGGTCAGGAAGATCCCCTGGAGTAGGAAATGGAAACCCACGCCAGTATTCTTGCCTGGAAAATCCCATGGACAGAGGAGCCTAGTGGGCTACAATCCATGGGGCCACAAAAGAGTCGGACACAACTGAGCGACTAAGTACATATATTTCAAAACAGAGCATGAACTCATCAGTGATCCACCTCTCAGTCAAGCAGTACTGATGCAATATTTAACCTTCATCCTCACACAGTGCTCTGTGCTTGAAAGTTTTACTGTATGCTGCTCTCATTGTATAAAAAAATAAGCAAAAATGAATGGAAAATGAAAAAACTCAGAATGCAAAGAAGTGTAGTTTTCAAAGCTAATACAGTTAACACAAAGATGAAAAATCATGAGGTAGCCAAATCAAATTGAAATGTAGCCTCAATCAGATATAACAAAGTGCTCACTGGACTTAAGCTGATTCTGAAAAACTGTGAACCAAATAAAGTACACGGACACTGGAAATACATCATCAAAGACTATGTTCTAAACGATGAGATGTCACTAGGGACTCTTTCTATAATACCTTATCATATTCTCTGGGGGGAAAAAACTCCCCATAACATATAATTTTGCCTTTTATTTTCAGAAATGCTTAAGTATCAAACTAGTGTGGTTTTT